CCCCCCCTTCCCCCTCCTCCCTCATTCCCCCCCTCTCCGCCGCTCCCGGCGCCGCCGCTCGCACGCGCGCCCGCGCTCCCGCTGCCTCTCCCCGCAGCCGGCCGTGCGCGGGTGGCCATGTAACGCGGCGCGGAAAGTTGGCGCTCGGAGCACCATGAAGCAGCGCCGCTCGTAGCGGGGCCCCGTTCGSAGCGGAGCGGCGTCCGGCGCGCAGCCCTGCAGGGATGGAGTCGGTGAAACAAAGGATTTTGACCCCCGGCAAGGAGGGGCTGAGGAATTTTGCTGGGAAATCGCTCGGCCAACTCTACAGGTAAGAGCGAGGTCTCTTGGAGGATCGCGCCGCTCGCTAGGAGCGAGTGGAGGCTTTTCTTAAGCCCCAGCCGCCGGAGGAGGTGGAACAGTTTGTGCACCGGGTAACGYTGGTGGCAAACGGGCTGGGAGCTCTTTAGCTATCGGTGATACAATCTGGATCCTGGAAACTAGTGCCGAAGCTTCGCAATATGGCACCCTCCTAACTTGCCTTGCTGGTTCCTAGATGGTGGCACTAGATCTGCGGCGAGATCACCCCGTCTGTCTGCCCCTAGCAAAAAGCGGGATCCCATCTCGGACCCAGATTCAGAGCAGAGCAGCTCCCCGTATTTTGGTTTTGCGGCAATTTTGCAGTGCGGTCCCAGGGTCTTTCTCCCTGGGACCCTTACCAATCATTAAAAATAATAATAACAATAACAATAATAATAATAATAATAATAATAATCCTTCCTGGTTTCGATTAGTCTTGTCCCCCGTGTAATTCGTCGTCAGAGGAAGACAAACATGGGGATGTATAAATAATTGATAACCGAACGATTTTTTTTTCCTTAAGCTGAAATGTATAGAGGGATGTGTTTAATTATTTATCCGTCTGCATTGGGAAGCAGCCGCTTGGTTTATAAGCAATATATAAYTGCAACTGCTACACGCGTAAGAAACACGCAGAACGGTTCTCTGCATAAGCTCATTTCCATCATCTTCGAGACGATATAGAGCCCCTAAATCAGCCATTACTAAATAATAATAATAATAATAATAATAATAATAATAATAATAATAATAATAATAATAATAATAGAATGTGCACACAAGTTAACGTATCGGGTTCCCTCAAACCTGGCGACTTTAGTGACCTCCAGCAGGTTGGGAGTCATCTGTGAAATTCCAATATATTTTTGAATTTCCCCTCTGCTAAAAACTACGCCGATTTTTCTAAAGGACCTATTGCTGARAGCTCAACTGCGGCTTTACCCGCCTGCTTTAGGTCACGTAAAAGTCTCTTTTTTCCCCCTAGCTCTGCGGCAGAGCTGGGCACGGGCACAAGGCTGGGGCTCAGCATGAGTCACAACTTCTGCTGCCATTTTAAGGGGAGGGGGAATAGGGAAGCGCTGAGGAGAAAACCAAGGCTTCCATTTAAGGAGGAAAAGTGCAGATTTAGCAACCAAAGCCAAGGACAACGTAGCGAAAGCCCTACATTTTATGGCCATATTTTTAAGCCGCCTTCAACGACCGGAAAGAGAAAAATAACTAGAGGAGAATCGAGAATAGCTCTAAAATACCAAGAAGGAAATAAATTGTTTTTCTTTTTTTTTCCTGACGCCCTAAAAGTCTCACGAAAAGTTAAATAAATAAAACGATCGTGCCCACTTCTTTTTATATTGCCACATGGCGAATTATGGAGAAGCGGGGCTCACATTTTCCACGGAAATCTCTTTTAAACTCTCCCTTGACTATCAAGTGCATCGGTTACTAATCTCACCCAACGTGCAGCACTGAACTATTTTTGCTGCTGATTCGAGGAATTCAGACAGTTTTGTGTATCCCTTATACTTTGGTGTCTTCCCGAGGACGACGAGCCCTTTCGGTGAGAAGACACTTGTGCATCACCTTCCATTCCCAAAATTTTGAGAACGAATTTTGAACGGTAGAGTAAAAACCCCGCAATTTTGCCTTTTATTCGCGACTTTAAGCCACTGCGAAAGCCACTGCCCTCTTTACGAACGGGATTAATTCTCCCCGCAAAGAAATAAAATAAAACAAAACAAAGCGAAAAGAAGCGCGAGGATTTCAGCTCGAGGGATGCTCTGCGTTTTCTGCAACTCGCAGAGAAGCTGCCGCTTCCCTCGGCCGAGCTGCTCCTCCCAGGCGGTTCCACACGGTTTAGGGCAGCGCTAGCGACATTTTTTTCCCCCCGTATTATTATTATTTTTTAAATATCCCCGTACCAATAAAAGGAGATGGAGGGGTTCGGCATGGGACACTGGCTTCGCAAACCTCGTCTCCCCAATTGCCGGCGAGGCGTTTTGAAAACTCTTCCTCCAGAGGAGGAATCAAATAAAATGTTCTGCTAAGTTGCCTGTGCTGGAGGACATGGATGGGGTTTTTTTCGTTTGTTTGTTGCTCGGATGGTTTTCTCGTTATTTTCCCTTTGGTTTGAAGTGGGTGCAAACAAGCATTTCTCAGCAGCCCCGGTTTCTGGGATTGCCGCCTAGGGAAGGAGGGCAGCGATCAGGGGGCAGCCCCGGGGAGCTGCTCGCGCGCACATCTTCGGACGGGCTTGTCCGGAGACGCTTTTCCAAGGAAAACCGCCCTGTTTTCTCCCCCGCTTTGTGACAGCCATTTTGCACGTCCAAAATAGGCTGTCGTCCCCCGCACCCTTTTCCGCTAACGTTTCTTCTGCTCCCAGACCAGAAGAGATGTCACCAGCCACCCACCCCTCTAATATTTCCAATGCAGCAACGAGACGGTCGCAACCTGCTCCCCCCAAAAAAAAATTAAACAAACAAATAATTAAAGAAAAAATAAAGCACACGAAGCCTCTTGGGCTGCCCAACATGGCGCCTCTGCAGTGGTTACAGCCGATGCCTCCTCGCTGCGTCCTACATATTTAAAGAGGAGGCTTTAATGATAGATGAGCCATTCGCAGCTACAGCTCCTCCCTGGGGCGGGAAGGGGGGGACTTGGGGATGACTAATCGCGACTCCCACAGGTCGCTGCTTGAAGGTTGTTCAAGGTTGAAGGCAGAGCAAGGCACCCCCCCMAAAAAAAAACCGGGCCAGCCCCACCTGAAGCTCCAGAGGGTGGTAGAAGGGGGAGGTCTTGACTTGCCGCCTCCTCGTGCCCTTGCAGGGTCTTGGAGAAGAGGCAGAAGGCCGGGGACACCATCGAGCTCACGGAGGATGGCAAGCCCGTGGAGGTGGCCCCCAAGAAGGCGCCGCTGTGCGACTGCACGTGCTTCGGGCTGCCGCGCCGCTACATCATCGCCATCATGAGCGGCCTCGGCTTCTGCATCTCCTTCGGCATCCGCTGCAACCTGGGGGTGGCCATCGTGGACATGGTCAACAACAGCACCATCCACCGCGGCGGCAAGGTCATCAAGGAGGTGGGCACCTCGGCCCTCGCTCTCTCTGCCGCCCGCCCTGTGCTCCCGGGGGGACCCCGCGCTCTCGGGGGGACCCCGCCGTCAGGCAGCGCTTTCCGCCGCCCCAGGGCCGGTTTTTATTTGTCACCCGCCGAGTTTCTTCGGGGAAAACAATCAAACAAGCAGGAAAAAGAAAACATAGCAGCAAAAAATCTGGTGTCTCGCAAAACGAATGCAGGGGATGGGGGGCTCGGAAGGCGTCGAGCAAAGCGGCACCCCGGCAATAAAAGGGCACCGCGGCCCGCAGCCCGGCACGCGGGGGTGAAGGGCACGTATGGACCCGTCGCGTATAGACGAGCCACGTAYAGCCGAGGCTTAACCGGGCACGCCCGGCCCCGAGCAGCCGCCCGCGGGAGCAGCGGGCAGGGGCGGGTGTTCGCAGGCGCCGGGGGTCCGGGGAGGCAGCGCTGTCCCCGGGAGACCCTCGGGCTGCGGCGGGCCCGAGGCCGCGGTGAGGGGCCGGCCGGGGCCACCGCCCCCGAGCTGCTTTTGCCGCCGCTTCCTCATTTCGGGCAGGAACAGGCGCCTTTTCCCCGCCGCTCCCGCGCCGGCTGCGAACGGAGCGGCCGCGGGACAGCGCCTGAATGCGGCCCCATTAACAACCTTCCTCTTTCCTTCCTCCTCCTCCTCCTCCCCCTCTCTCCTGGCCCCTCGGCGCGGCAAGAAAGCGAAGTTCAACTGGGACCCCGAAACGGTCGGCATGATCCACGGCTCCTTCTTCTGGGGCTACATCATCACGCAGATCCCCGGCGGCTACATCTCGTCGCGGCTGGCGGCCAACAGGTAAACCCGCGTCCCCGGGGGGCCCGGCCCGCCCCTCGACCGCGACCCCGGCCACCGGCGTCAGCAAAACCCCAGGGAAACGCACAGCTTCCTTTCTGCTTCCAAACTGCAGAGATTTCCCCCTTTTTTTCCCCACACTTTTTTTC